GATGGAGCGTTTGTCAAAGGACTTCAAAAAGCATTGAAGCAGGCACCAAGAAGGTCTACCCAGACAAATGACTCTGCGGGCGAAGACGAAGAGCTTGATCTCCTTGATTTTCTAGGAAGAGGTCCCAAGTGATCAGTGCAGGCTGCTCAATTGCATACGAGGTCCTCACAATACGCCTCCATGACTGCACTATCTTCATCGGTCTCTTCCTGTGAAACTGGCATTAAATTAAGCCACAATCTCATCATAATCATTAATTTCACATCCTTCTCGAAGTATATTCACACCATAGCGCCCAAGAAACCATCTGTAAAAGCCATCCTGAAACCAACACCATATTTCAAGACAGAAATACCACAATATTGCCCATCATGTAGATTCTTAGCCCAGGTTCATTGCGACAGGCTGGAAGAGCTTTCCAGATATATTGCCTCGCGTTTTGAAAGTCCAGATTCACTTACATGACCTGTTGGTATTGCTTCCTCTGCATGGATCAAGACACCCTCTGTCTCAAATCCGACGCCCCGCTTTTCTGGTCCTACAAGCGTGACAATTAAGACATATCCAAACACACAGCCGACAAAAATACTCATCACCTTGGAGTAGTCGTAGGCAGCTTCGCCGGATGTCGTAGTAATTGGGAATTGTTCGCCAAGACTGGACTCAATAGTCGAAGATGCCGATGAAACCATGTTACCCAATTGGTAAGACAATCCCACAACCAAAGATCTGTAAGCTGGTGGCGAAAGCTCGGACAAATGAACGGGAATCACACCCCATGCTCCTTGTACGCCTGCTTGCATAAAGAAGGCAGCACAGATGATCGTCAAGCGTCTTCCAATGAATGTCGAGGCGTGTCCACAAACAGTTCCACCAAATATGGCGCCCAAGTTGGCAACGGCATTGGTGACTGTTGATCTGTCCTCGCCAAACTCGAGCTGTTTGGAAAGAAGTGTGGGGTACAAGTCCTGCGATCCATGGGACATAAAATTGAAGCCAGCCATCAACAACACACAATATATCATGGTGAGCCAATATCTTTTCAAAGCGTCTTTTGTGTCTTCCGAGGGCTGATACCATTTCAAATGGCCTTCTAGTTTCTTTCGTGCCTTAGCAACCCCTCTTTGACGACGGTATGTTTCGGTTTCTGGAAGCCACAATCTCCATGCAATGAAGAGAACAGGTGGACACGCTGCAAACCAGAACAATGCTCTCCATCCATGTGGTGAATTATCAGTGATGGCGCGATTGAAAATCACCGCCAAGAGATATCCAAACGCGTATCCTTCTTGGAATATACCCGATAATACACCTCTGCATTCGACCGGAGAATCATCCAAAGATGTGGCCAACGAGAACCCATACACACCACCCATGGCAACACCAAAAATTGCACGTACTCCCAAAAATTGCTCATATGTCTGCACAAAACCAGTGCCGATTTGAAGAACTACCAACAAACTCAAGTTGATAACATAGGGCCACTTTCTACCGTACCGGTCACCCCAGTACCCAAAAAGCAAGGCGCCCACCGATCTTAGCATCAACACCAAAGTAATACCCCACGTGACATCCTTGACGCTTCTGTCAAATGTTTCTGCCATACTGCTGGCGTTCAAAGAAACAGCAAAAAAATCGACCGAGTCCCATGTCCATGCTGCGAAACCCATGAAGAAGAAGTTCCAATTTCTCAAAGTCATGTGCTTTAAATCTCCAAATGGGTTGAGCATTTGGCTCCATGTGTATTGTGCCCTTTCTTCTTTCGATACAAAAAGCGTCGAGAATCTAGTGGCAAAATACTTTTTGATGGATCTTGCGGTCAATGATGGAGGCTTGATAGCATTTTTATTATGGTTTCTCACAAGCTCCGAATGCACGGACGAGGTCATAGACACAGGCATGATGGGATGGGATTTCGACTTCTGATCTTTCAAACCAAAACCACAATACTACAAAAGTGACGGGGTATTCTCTTCTTATATGTGTCTTGCTGTGCTTCTGTCCTAGGGATGTCCTAGGGTGAAATCTGAAATTGACTAGCCCCGCAAATTGGCATATTTGCACCTACATGCAATGCGAGGGACTATGTTTATGTGCAGGCAGGTGCAGTACAGCCGCGTGAATAAAAAGTGGGGCGTACTTTTCCGGTTGATATCCGGGACTTATTGCGAGCACCTCTTCGTAAGCTGGTGGTATATGTGGATATCGAGCATTGCTTATGTTTACTCTGATATCAGGTGCTTGTGGAGATGGCTGGCACAGTCGAAAACTGAACATCTTCAGTTTACTGCTTGGCTTTTTGGCAAGAACTATGGGCTAAATGAGGCCTCACATTGCCCACTGCACCTAGTGCTCAATTACTTTTTTTCATGATTGCTATAGGCATAAGACCCGGCATTACCCCAAAAAGAATTACGAGCCAGTCTCCTTGTACAGCTGGGCGCGTAATCCCGCCGTGCCCCATGCACTACAGACGCACTCTAGCCCGGGGAATTTGCCCTATGCCATTTTGCGATTGGACAGAAAATCGCAAAACACAGAAACCATCGGGCACAAAAGAATTTCTCAGAGTGTATGGGGGCTTGGAGGAGCCCTTGTCTCATCGTGTGGGGCAGCCTTTATCAGAAATCAAACTGCATATGATTTCAACCCGGTTTTATCCGTTCGTATGTCCCTTATCGTTGTTCCAAAAGAAGCTCGCACAAGGTCTCAGCCGATCGCCAAGCACCAGCTCAAAGGCAAAAATTTTTTGAGACACATCTCGCCAATATGTGACAGCTTTTTTCTGGGCAATTTTGGGACTGACAGAGAGCCAGATTTGAAGAGCTCAAATACATTCTGACCCGGAAGGAGGCTCTAAACTAAAGAATGGTATCGCGTTTTGCTAAAAGACACCATATTGGAAACCACCACCTGAGGATATCCTGACCTGCTTCGTTAAACAACAGGGGGTTTTGAAAAATGGTGAGATTACACGGTACTGCAAAGGTTATTCTATGTGGCGGATTGTTCTGAAATTGTATCGCGGATGCCATACCCCCACACTCTCGTGCACACACACGCCGGGCATGCAGACATTCTCCAATTGTCGCATGTACGTGGTATATTGCAAAAGGCGATGTGCCCTAACTCCGCACCTGCACTTGTGGCTCGTCATCCGAAAACTCAGCAACTGGATATTTCGCAGCAACCTGGAATGAAACGAATCGCCGGGGTGATGAGACAGTGCTCTTTGCTGGGCCCGAAAACCTCCGGGGCCTGGAATTGATGTCATTATAGCATGTTCAGGCGCAACCCTCTGTCCTTTGCGTTTTTTTTTCCTCATCCAAAACAGCAGGGGAGTAAAAGACGCGATGATGAAAATTCAATCAAGAGGAAAGTCTGAAGTTTGTAGTTGCATCACAGAACAGCTTGAAATCTTCTCATAGCTCCACTGAGAAAATAAATCAAACTATTTGTCAGGTACTTGGGAAATTTTCTCACTTCTTGAAGATGAATGAAAGCTTGTTACTGATGTCGCCAAATCACAGCAAAGCTGACAAATACAATTCCACATTTGATTTCCTGGTAGAGGACACCTCTAAGAAACATTCCAGGATAGACGCTGGAATGTGTGTCTACTATAGTCTAGCGGGATGAAGACAGTCAGCTTCCGCCCGTTTGACCAGCCCTCTTTTCATGCAGATTTCGTGATTCCAAGATGGTATTGCACCCAGATTGTGAACAAGGTTTTCAAGAGCATTTCAAGTCTAACTACGGCAAATTATGCTTTGGACTATTGCTTTTGCTCTGGTGTTTGTCTACAGACAACCAGATGCAACAAACGAGACCCCCGGTAATCTCGTGGATTTATTACCGCGGAAATGCGAGGATATGCAGAGAGCACTGTACACAGTATGCGTGTGTGTGTTGTGCATGCGTGTCTGCACATTGTACTGTCTCTGCTCTCAACTTGACGTGATGTCGCCACGTAGCACGTTTGCTCATGAAGCCCTATGAAAATGTGTTCTTTACTCTTGTAAGTCATTGTTTCAAAACGACTATCGACATTTTTGTTTCCACGCACTACCATGCTTAGAAGTCCAGTTTACAGAAGGCAAGATAGAACGGCTCTCTAAAACCCAATGGGATATCTGTCCAACGGTGTTTCATACCATAAATGATCACCCGCGCTATCAGCTTAGTGTTGGACACCTTTCTTAATATAAGTGTAGCAGCCAAACTTATTGCTGCTTCGCAAAATCAGCTTTTTGCAAATATTGCGCCAAATAGTCTTGTTCCAGATTCTTTGTGAGAGACAAAACAATCGATTGTCGAGACTCTGTCACGTGACTTCCGTCAGGAACCGTCTGAATTCGCAAGCCTTCAGGCAGGAGCCGTCTAAGACCTTTGGAGTATAAAGTCAATCGAAAACACCTTCAATTCGGTAGAAAACAAGAGGAGGAAAAAACATAGACGTCTTTCACGTTTATATAGCTTAATTGAGACACCACTAACAATTTGCAAGAAGCTCAAGAGGCAAAACACGTTTATTTTCAATGACATCACGGCATCTCAAGCGAGCCAGCGTTGACGGCGTGCATATAACCACGGGTTCGTCCGGCTCATCCAAAAACCTGATTCCCAAAACCCCATACTTCTTCTTTGCCAGAAATCACCGCTTCGTCCAGCCAAACGAAACAAAATTATTTTAATGTGAGTATGGCGCCCAAGTTGGAGCTGTACATGACTTAAGATGTGGCAACCAGCAGGAACCACATCGGCTGATTTAAGCTTTATGGTTCCCAAACCACCCTTTGTCTTGAAAGAGTGGTTGTATAAACTTACAAAGTCTAAAAACCATAGAACATAACAACATAATTGCAATCAATAGGAGGAAGTCTTTGATGAAGAGGGAAAGTCTTTGATGAAGAGGAGGAAATCTTTGATGAAGAGGAAGAATTCTATAACGCCAGGGGTCTTCTGGATGCAGACTGTGTTTATTTTCAAGATCAAGCGCTTAATTGGTAAGCTTTCAGAAGAAGCGATTCAAATAAATCGCTCGAGAATTTTGAGAATTGAGGGTCACCAATATTTATTTTATCATGACTGCCGCCGGCTCGAATGGCGGGGTAGCCGTGCCCGGTGGGAACCTCTTGCATGATCCCGCGCGACATTTGCCCGCGACATTTGCCCGCGACATTTTTGTGGCCATCCATTGAAAGATGCCCCGTCCGTCGCCCCAGACTTTAGCAACCATTATCAGATTTATTGGGCACAAGACGCCACAACACCGCGCTGCTGAATCCACAGTCATCAGCTTCTAAATTTACTGTGCTCCCATATCAGTGTTAGTCCGAGTTTTCCTGACTCGCCAAGCTTGCTATGGCCCCATCTATCGCATCAAAAGACGAGCTCTCCACCTCCAATTCAAGAGCCTCAGAAACTCATACGTCCCCAAACATAGACGATATACTTCCACAGCAAATTTCCCTGGAAAAAGCTCTTCAAAAAAAGTTTATCCAGAGTGACGCCGGCGATGGAACCACAGCCACCGACCAATATGTGAATGGTGCTCGTTTGCCTCTCATTCTCACCAGTGTGGTGATTGCGATGTTCATTGTGGCACTCGACCAAACCATTGTCTCGACGATTTTAACTGTGGTCAGTGATGAATTCGGCTCTTTTTCAAAGGTCGGCTGGTTGACCTCGGCGTTCATTCTTCCTGTGGCGTGTTTGGCGCCGCTGTACGGCAAAGTGTCCATTGCTTTTGGAAGGAAATACACATTGTGCGTTGGAATCGTCATCTTTGAAATCGGCTCGCTTGTCTGCGCTCTAGCAAACAGTATTGATATGCTCATTGGTGGCAGAGTCATCCAAGGTATTGGCGGCGGTGCTGTCCAAGCCATGGTGGTGGTCATTATTTCCGAGTCTGTGCCGATCAATAAGCGTGCATTATCCATGTCGCTTATTGGTATCACTTTTTCTGTGGCATCAGTCAGCGGGCCTTTTATTGGCGGTGCCTTTGCGTCGCACGTCACGTGGAGGTGGTGTTTTTATATCAACTTGCCCTTAGGAGCCATTGCTTTGGTGCTCATGCTCACCTTCTTCCACCCGCCTAGACCACTGGGCCACATTCGAGCGAAATTGTCCAAAATCGACTACTTGGGCACCATCCTCATCTCGGCCGGTTTAGTGTTGGTTTTACTCGCCATCACGTTTGGCGGGAACGAGTATGCATGGGATTCGGCTGCCATCATCTGTCTCTTCACCATTGGAGGCGTTGTGTTGGTGGTCTTTGCAGTTTACAACTTCCTTCTCTCGAAAAACCCCCTCATCCTCAAGGAGTTTGTCACAACGCCTCAGATCTTGGGGTCTGGTTTCATGGCTTTCTTCAACTTTGCGTTTTTTTTGAGTTTGGTGAACTACCTCGCCATTTACTTTCAGGTCATATTTAATGCGTCTGCCTGGCAATCTGGAATTGACTTGCTTCCCTTGGTCATCAGTGTATCGGTGGCCTCTGCATTCAATGGAATCTTCATCAGGTACCTATACTTCATCAAAGTCCCCATGATGATTTCGGGGATTCTTTCGCCAATTGGTGTCGGCATTCTTTTGCTTTTAGACAGAGACACAAGCACATCCGCTCACATCGGATTGCTTATTCCTGTGGGCGTTTCTGTCGGACTTCAATTCCAAAGTACCTTGCTCTCAGCGCAACTCAAAGCACCGGGCCATATTCCAGGATCTATGATCTTGGTGACCGTCTTTGTTAACTTTATGAGAACTTTAGGTGGGGTCATAGGAGTTACAATGTCCCAGCTTATGCTTTTGACTCGGGGATCTGAGTATATATCGCAAGCTATAGTGGATAACCCTGATGTGCCGGCGCTTGCTTCTGTTCCAGCGAAAACTTTACTTTCATCCCCAAGCATTATCTGGGCACTTCCAAGCGACGCCCGTGATCTTGTTTTGGACGCGTTTATGAAAGCTTTGCATGATGTGTTCTACTTAGACTTGGCCTTCGCTTGCTTATGCTTGATTGCAGCTGCAATGTCCACAAACAAGATGATTCCTAAAGCTGATGAAATCGAACACACGGCAAAGAAAGAAAAGCTTCCTTCTGATGAGGAAGATGTGGAAAAGCAGCTGGTCTCTTCTCCAAGCGAAGATTTGCAACAGACACAAGCAGCTGATGATTTCCAGGTCAAAACTGTTTCCACTTAGTTTTTTGTGTTTTTGGGCAATCCTCATTTAAACATCCTTGTGTTCAAAATCACACCGTTTAACGCCTAATTGTCACTTAAATGACTGTGAACTTAATAAATTATTGCATATGAATACAAATAAATTCGGGTTGAGGATAACAGAGTACCGTCGAACGTTTCCTTGGAAGCTCTATCTCTCTGGCCATCATCCGTCAAATTTTCTAGCCAGACTGATCTCCCATAACTGCACTCGAGATTTCGAAGACATCGTGTGATGCATTGACGCATCCCTATAGTGACAAATGTCGGCAATCAGTAAGTTTTGTTTCGTTTAAAATCCAGATGGGTTAGGAAGTTATTCTTAAGTTGCACTGATAATTTGATGAAAAAAATTGAATGTTTGACGCAACGAGGTAAACAAAATCTGAATACTACAAGTCATCGGACTTGCTTTGTCGAAAACTATACCTTTAACTTTATTACCTGGCATGGTCGTAATATAATTCAAATATATAAAAGAAGCCAAATTAAACCACCAGTTGACAAAAACGTGATGTAACCACAATGTGAAAAAGAAAACATTCATAGATCAAGCGTTGGTAAACATGTGGGCCTCCACAAGGCACGCTATGACTGATATATCTACTCAGAAGAGAAAAGGATCGAGTGTAGTACCCGAGTAGATTTGTCGCTTCGACAACCAAGTCGAGCAAGGTATTACGTCCAATTTGGTACTCTTACAGCGAGCCCTAAAATGTCGGTTATGCGTCAATATGGCGAGATCAGCATTTTATTCGCAACACCAAGCACTGAGTAAATTCTTAACTGCACTGGTGGTCCAAATCCTTGGGTTCGTCATGCTGGAGTTGATTTCGAGACTTGCACATGTACTCCATGTTGAGAGATCTCCAATTCCACAAATTATATGTTATCAAAGTGCGTTTCTCTGAAGTTGTACGTAACTTTTTCTGTCATCCGTGACAAAAATTCTCTTGGTGATGTCCTATTGAATAATGCTGGACATGAATCCCTTCAAATAATGTAGGCGATTATCGACTGTGTTCTAAAGAAGGAGGCTGTACGCCATGAGGACATACAAGCATATTTTAGTCTCATTTCCAACATTGACCTTGTAAGCAGTCCGGAATCATGCTCGTGATGCATATTGGAGGATCAACAAAGTCTCACCTATTTTGTCTGTGACAATGAAATCAAGATCAAAAAGCTTTCAAAAGCAGGGCACGCGACGGGAAGAGTGAGACTTTCACGGCAAGAGTAGCACACTGTAACACAAACATCTCGCCAGAAGGTCAGCACACAACCGGCAAAAAGAGCTTTGTTTAGCGCTCTGTTGAGCACTCTGTCAGTATCCATTGGAGCCATCATGCAGCAGACCCGCCGACAGACAAACGAGTGGTCAAAGATGCCTGGAGATATCTTCCAAGTACTGGCGGATGTGGGCATTGAGCTTGGCCACGGCAGAGGTGGTGTTGCGGAACTCGAAGTCGAAGTCCAGCTTCATTTTGCGGATGTCGGCCTCGATCTGGCTGTTCTCCTTCTTCGTTCGGTCAAGCTTCTCCTGCTTGGCGTCGCGGTCTTGCGTCAACATGTCGTATTCCATCTCGAGCGCCAAAAACTTCTCGTGGGCGGCCTGTTCCTTTTCCAGCGCCTGCTGGCGAAGCTTGGCGATCTTTTCCTCGGACTTCTGGAACTGCCGTTTGGCTCTCTCGAGATGCACCGTCAACTCGTCCGAAATCTGCTGCTTGCTGCTGAGCTCGTCGTTCTGGCGCGCGTAGTTGTCCTTGGCCGCGTCGAGCACCTTCATGTCGTTGCTGATTTCCTGGACGATCTTGATGAGGTTGCGGAGCTCGTCCTCCACGGTTTGCACGGCCTGCTGCGTCCTGGTTTTGTTGCGCACGGTGGTCTCGGACTTCTTGAGTTCTTCCTCCGCCGCCTGCGAATGCAGCCTTAGATCCGCCACCACCTGCCTCACCACCGCCGGGTCTGCAGAGGCGTACGCCTCGATCTTCAGGAGCTCGCGCTCGGACTCGCTGAGAAGGAAATGCTGGTCCTCGAGCTTCTCGATGAGCCGCGCCTTGGTCTCCCTGTAGCTCGCGTGCTCCTTCTTGAAAACCTCCTGGGACTTCTGGAGCTTGATGAGCTCCTGCTCGAGCTTCGAGTTGTACTTGAGCAACTGAGCAAGCAGCGATTTCTGCGCCGCCGCTGAGCCGCCGGCCGCAGCGCCTGCAGCGTCTCCTTCTTTGAGACGCCGCCGCAACTTGTCGATGCGGTTGGCCAAATCCACACGCTCGTCGTCGAGATTGCGCACCTCTTGCATGGCCTCCTCGGCCTCCTTCGCTAGCAGCTCACACTCGCGCAAATGCTCCTCGCGGAACCGGGCAAAGTTGATCACGCCGCTGAGCACGCGCTGTGTCCGGAGCGGGTCCGGCCGCACCAAGTCCAGGAGCGTGAAGTCCAGAATGCCGCACTTCTGGAGAAACATGTTCACGGCCCGGAAAAACACGAGCACGTGCACCGCGTCCGCCGTGTCGTCGGCGTCCGCGCCGCCGCTGTCCGCGCCGCCTGCAGGCCCGGGCGTTTGGAGCAAGTCCCTGGCCGTGCCGCCACAGTAGTCCGGAGAAAGCCCGATGAATGTGTCCAAGATCTGCTCAAACAACTTGCGGATGTACGAGCCGGACGGCCGCGCCACGAGCTCCTCGCTGGCGGCAAAATCGCACTCCTGCAAACACTGCGAAAGCTCCCGGAAATCCAAGAGCGGAAACTCGTCGTTGGTCACAAGATGGCCGCGGGTCGAATGGGCCATGTACGCTGCGCCGGGACGCGTCGCGTTGAGGCGGGACATGGGCGCCAAGAAAATTTCAGGTCAATGCTGCGTGCGCTGGCAGGGCGCAAAAGGGATCGGTTTCCGGGTCGTGTTGGCGGGCCGTGTTGAGGTGGATCGGGGCTGTTGTGGTGAGGTTTGCGTGATGTGGGATGTACGGGTGCGTGGGCCGGACGTGTTTCGTGGGGTGGAGCAGATGCGCGCTTCTGGCTGGCACGGATGTTTTGGTTTCTTTCTGGACTTGGTATTTCTCTTCGGTTTCTTTCCGGACTTGGAATCTCTCTTTGTTTTGGCTGATCCTTGGTATCGTTCTTCGCACTGATTCTTCCTTGTGTTGGTTCTTCGTTTTTGGTTCTTCCTGAGTTTCCCACCTCATTGATCTTCTTCTGTTCTTCTCTTCATTTTTTTGCTTGCTTTCTTCTTATTTATTCTAGCCCTCTATTCTGTACCGCTTGTTCTGCTATGCTATGAGTCTAGTGTGCCTTGAGTGCTCTAGTCCTCCATTGCAGATCGTGTCTATATACACGGCCATGCTTCGCCCATCTTCATAAATTTTCCTAGATACGGACTTTGGTTTTCTGGCTCGCAGAGAACGGCCTTCATCTGACTTTTCTGGAAATTTAGTAGTTGTGGGGCTCTTTTGTCAGATAAAGAGCGTTTTTCTCGTCGTGCCCTGCCTCAATCTAAGGCTACATGCGTCAACTCACTAGACATACGAAGTCGTTGATCTCGCTAAAAAAAGAATCAAAGGAAAAAAAGGGACTTAAACCTGAGACCATGTAATAAATTAATGAAAGATCTAGGCGGGCCTTGTCGTTCCAGGAACGTGTTATATTTTTATCCTACTTCGTAATTTGCAAGTCTCATCTTTTCGCAACCATGTTCTTAAAAATCCAAGTACATTGGTCACTTTCCCAATCACAATATAATTCGAAGAGGAATATTTTGTCAAAAGTTAAAGAACAAAACACACGATATATCAACGAATAAGTAATATCACTGTTCTATACCCCGAAAAAACCGTGGTTTCTGACGGTATATTTACGTAATGAGATTTACTGTTATGAGCACGTATTCGAACTTTGAGTGTGATGACAATGATCGCAACACTTTTAAGGTAAACACAATCGAAAAATCTTTTTATACTCTAGTGTGCTTGACCCGGATAGTATTTTAACTCTCTGTTGTAGTCATTTTTGAGTGTTCTGCTTCCACAGCGTCGGTCATCGCCTTGAAGCAGGATACCTATCTATATGAACCTCAGTAACCACAGCCCAGCCCAGACACTGAAATATTCATGTTAATTCATAAACTTCTCATATATTGACTGGCAACTTCCGTGGTACAGCCGATCTATTTGAAGAAGACCATGATCTAAGACAACTGCACATTCAGAGAACATTTGTCTTCTGGTGTAATTACTATTTTGCACTTTGAAAGCAGTGCCAGCACGTTCTGTATGGAATACTAATCTCAGTGTCGAATCTATCGTTTTGTAGGATGCCTTTCTCGCATTATTTCACCACACAAATGATATCCGGGTTATTCTAGAACTGATGAGAAAAAGTGACGATATAATGCAAGTTTCGCTCGCAGTCAATTTCATCAACCCACATTAGGACGTTCTTTCGGGCAGGGATATAACCTATATACATTGACACCAGCCTCAATTGCCTTTGAGTCCGCGAACGACACATGTCCTGGAAGTTCTCCTATAGCCAGTGAAAGTACGTGATGCCGACGGTAAATCATGCGTGAAGCAACAGAGAACTATCACCTTCTTCAGCCTATGAAGGTCTTAAGATGTTTAGACGCTTTCTATGCGTGCAAAGTGAATCTGTCCTTTCATGCGAAAAAACGAGAAAACCAGCTTGAGCTAAACAATTGTACCCGGCCCAAGACGACAGAATATTCCATGGGCACATATGGCTCCTCACAGCTTTCATCGATGAATAGCGCACAACATGTTTTTTTGCGACGCGACAAAGCTCAACCCAGAGCTCTCACTGAAGAGTTCGAGTCAGGCGTGAATCCTCAGTTCGCGCATTACTTCGTTCATTTATACTGGCCGCATGAGACATAACATACAGAATGGCTGCCAGAAACATCATACTCTCTCGGCTGTCCAGATGGCACCCCTGCAAACCAACTTGATGGTTTCCGTGAGCAAGATGTATGGCACTGCTTTCTCAGCATCATTTTCAACGGCAGTGTCCAAATGCTCTAGTTCGTCATCCCTAAATGTACTGATCATATCTTTTAACTTAGAAAGCTCAGGCGACGTGCGTGCAGCCTCAGTCAATTGCTCGGGCAGAAGTAGCTCACCGGTCTTTTTATCAAAAGCGTCGATATTGTACTGCTTCATCAAAACGCGGAGCTGCTGGTTGTAATGCCCACCTATGACAGTCTCTACAGCAACTGTGCATGCCATGGCAGCTTCTTTACTGATGAGAGCAGTCCCTGCCCCCATAGCTACTGCTCCGATTTTCCACAAAGGTGTGAAAAGCGAGGGTCTCACCCGCCTTTCTGTCTGAAGACGGTTAAAATTATCATGGTGGTAGATCTCTTGCTCCCACATGTGTTTCAAGATAGGCTTCAAGTGGGGGTATTTCAGGGATAAAACACCGTATTGTCCCATGTAGATGTAGTTGGCGCCTAACTCGCCTGCTTGGTCCACCCTTATAACACGGTCAAGAAACGCCTTCTGGGCTTTCGACATTGCTCCGTATTCTACATCTTCTTGCTTTATCGTTCCGCTTTTGGATTTAGGACTAGATGCGCTAGCCTTCGACAGAGCTCTCCTTAAAAGCGGAGAGACTTGGTTCACCCTGGGGGAAAGCCGGCTGGGAAACATTGAGTGTTTTTTGGGATGGTTTTTTGTCGTTTCAGGATATCTACAGATATTTCTGAATCACCGTTCTGGGTGGTCTTGTTGAGGGTATGTAACAAACCTTCACATCGCATGATATTCAGACGGCGGCGCGCTCGCTGTCTTGCCACTTGAACGAGCACCTGCACTCCAATACACGCATGCGTCTATGCTCTGAGTCTTTTAATCAATATATGTGTCAAAAGTGCCCATCATAGCAATGCCTATATCAAATGGTAGCTCTTGAGTATCTCTAGAATTAGCCACCGGCTTATTCTCATTCAGGTATACTCTCAAGTGACGAAGCAAGCGATTGGGAATTTCCTTCACAATGAGCCACTCGACAGGAAATATGCCTTTCCAGCGACTGGACTCTACCCAGATGTCACTGGCTTGCGTGAAGTCAATGGCGCTTTGCATTCTCGCGACTCCACAGAATTTTGCTGAGCCGTTCACAGAAAAAAATAAGTAGACCCCACCTTGCGATTCCCGGAACGCCTTATCGAGCCGTTTGTTTCCGAGTTCCGTTGACGCCCATATTCCATTGCGGATAGATGCTTGTACGTCTAAACTGCTATAGGATTTAATTACAAAGAATCGCGCACTCTCACCAACGTCAAAGGGCTTACCTTCTGAGCGAAAGAAGGACCGTTTGAATTCAGGTTGACTAGGGGCCGTGTCAGGCAGGTCGAAGTAGTCACTGTCATCTGGCCACCAGCCTTGTGAATTCGAAGAATTTATCGACACTGAAGAAAAAATTGAGACAGATGAGGGGGTAGTAGCAGATGTAGGGATGGTCGTCTCACTGACACTTCGCGAGGCTTCGCCGAAATAATCGTGGTATTCTGGCGCCCAGATGTTTGGTGTGCAAACCACATCAATTCCATGAGTGTAGTTTGCCAATTCTGTGACGATTTCCAAATTTCGAAGTGTGTTCGCTGTGCATGGCTCCTTGAGTCTTGATCTGGGCGGCACCTTGAAGACGAGTAAGTTTGAATCGAAAAGCAGCAGCATCTTCAGTGTAGTGGAAAAAAGGTGCTTTATGAGATATGTCTGGCTATAAACAAAAGGAGTGTCAGGAGTTTGGATTAATTCAAGTAAACTCAAATTGCACTCTCTTAGTAAAGATCTTGCCAAATAAAAGACCGCTTTTCAAAAGGGGTTGTGTTCAGTTGCAGATACGAGTGTTCACAAATACTGCTCAAATGAGATCAAATTTTTAGGATGTATTGAAGCTTACACCAAAAGATGAGTTCCAAATTTCCAAAAATGTCATGAAGGTCTGCTTTTATATAGATTTCGCTCTTCATGCGGATTTGCAGCCAGGTTCCTGCCACAAAAACATTGTGCAGGCACTCAAGACCTCAGGGTCAAAATCCCTTATCTCTGCGAGTCACTTTTTGTACTACATCTTTTTTTGGTGTTCTAGGTTTCGCGCCTCGTTCATCAAAAAGGCATCCACATGTCGAGATTGGCATGCATCAGAAGCGTCACCGCATGAACGAAAAAAACACTACTACTAAGCTCGCGCGGATATAGATGAGCAAGCGCGCGAAGCATCCCAATCATCAGGATAGGATAGTTGAATGGCGGCAAGACTCGAACTTTGTCACCACATCTTTTCATATCGCAGTAGATAACCGCATACATCACCAAAATGGTACCGAATTTAAATAGGAAGGAAGCTGAAGTGGCAGAGGCAGAGAAAATTAAGAGAAAACAGAGGAAAGCAGAGGAACGGTGTTTCAATGTGCTGGTGGACGTATCCAAGGTGAGTATGTCTGTTATCAAGCAGTGGATGGTCAAGTATCTTGAAGAGCATTTACCCGATGACGATGTTGCTGTGGAATTCATATATGAGCTCTTAGTTGGGGCCGAGAATAATGAGCCTGAAATCCGTGTTATCCGCGAGCAGATGAACGATTTTTTGGGAAAGGACACCAGCCGGGCGTTTTGTCTCGAGCTATGGCAGCTTCTTCTCAGCGCACAAGAATCGCCGGATGGCGTGCCCCAACAACTAGTAGACGATAGGACAGCGCAGATCGAAAAGGATGAAAAAGCCCGTAGAGAAGCAAACCTCATTCTTGAACTGCTTCGGCCTAAGCTCTCTTTGTCGAAAACCCGAACGAGGGTCAGTTTTAAAGAGCCGGAATCCGAAAGAAAGAGCGCCTTGCCGTCGAAGGCTAATCGTGTGAATAAACCTGACAGGAAGACAAACTACAACAGGAGTTAGCACGACCAAGGCGCACACTGATGCTCCCGGGCTTGGAAGACATCGGAAATCAGGAATTGATCGGGTGGATCAGGAATTCTCGAAGGGTGCTTTGAAAACGAGAACTTTCTCACACGCCCAAGGAAACTACGAAGAGAAGAAAATGTGTACCTAAAGGCTGTGGGTGTTCTGGCAGCCCATTGCCATCTCCTTCCAGGAAATCCGATGGTTTGTGAAGGAACTCTTTACTTTTTGGCTCGGAGAGTTGAAAGAATCATCACACTACGTGCTAACTCAAATTGCTTCAGTTTTCACTTCATTCAGAGCACGTATTTTGGGTGCATGTAAGATTGGTCAACGCGCGTGTATCAGACCACAGGAGCATCGAGTAAACAACAATAATTCGTTGAGTCATCTGGAAACAAAATATAATTAAAACGTGTTTTTTCGAGAACAGCACAGGCATGTCTTTTGAAAGGCGTATTACATTGATTCTTCACAAAAGTGAATACCGAGTGACAAATCGAAGCATATTAGCATGCTGTCCCGAGTTCTATGCTGCCCCGCCTTTATGGGGCCCCAGTCCCCGCTCCTGCGTGATACCCCTCACCCTCACAGCGAGGCAGGCGTGCACAGTCGAAAATTAATCAACAACTGCCAGACTACCAATTTCGAGAAAAGTCTTAACACGCAAAATATCGTTGGGCCCTGCAGAACGAAGCACAATTCAGAATGTCAGAGCCTCACAGTCTGCATGAGCATCATCACCACCATCACAATCATCACCATAACGCAGAAAACCAGACACAGAATGTCAGTCAGCAACTGGAGCTGGAAGTTAAGCAACCTCAAGGAGTGAGGATCGGCAAGTATCAGGTTTTGAAGACTCTTGGTGAGGGGTCTTTTGGAAAGGTTAAATTGGCTGAGCACTTGACGACGAACCAAAAAGTTGCTTTGAAAATCATCAACAGAAAGACTTTGGCAAAGTCCGACATGCAAGGTAGAGTCGAGAGGGAAATTTCATACCTCAGATTGTTGAGACACCCACACATCATCAAGCTCTACGATGTCATCAAGTCGAAAGACGAAATTATTATGGTGATTGAATTTGCAGGCAAGGAATTGTTTGACTACATTGTGCAAAGGGGTAGAATGCCGGAAGACGAGGCGAGGAGATTTTTCCAGCAAATCATAGCCGCAGTCGAATACTGTCATAGACACAAGATTGTACACAGAGACTTAAAGCCAGAAAACTTGTTATTGGACGACCATTTGAACGTGAAGATCGCGGACTTTGGTTTATCTAATATCATGACCGATGGTAACTTTTTGAAGACCAGTTGTGGATCCCCCAACTACGCGGCTCCTGAAGTTATCAGCGGGAAGTTGTACGCCGGGCCCGAGGTTGATGTTTGGTCCTCGGGTGTCATCTTGTATGTGATGTTGTGTGGAAGGTTGCCCTTTGATGATGAGTTTATTCCTGCCTTGTTCAAAAAAATTAGTAACGGTGTCTACACCTTACCTAATTATTTGTCAGAAGGTGCGAAAAGTTTGTTGACGAGAATGCTTGTGGTGAATCCATTGAACAGAATCACAATCCATGAAATCTTGGAAGATGAATGGTTCAAGCAAGGAATCGAGGAGTACTTATTGCCACCTGACTTGTCCAAGACAAACCATAACAAAATTGAAGTTGACGAAGACGTTATTGACGCTTTAACCATGACTATGGGCTATGACCGAGATGAGATCTTGAACGTTATTCACTCTTGTAACAAGCAACAGAACCCTCACCAACAATCCAATGAAATCATCGATGCCTACCTATTGATGAAAGAAAATCATTCTTTGGTGAAAGACCTCAAGAAAAACAAGACAGAGAAAATGGAGACTTTCTTGTCGCTGAGTCCCCCTCCAGCATGGAACACTACAAACGCAAGTAATATGCCTGCTTCTCACCACGCCCCAGGAGTACAACAATCATTAACTTACCAGACTTTAGCCACTGTGCCGGACTTGTCTACGTTGCCAAATTCCACCATTGCTATCTTGCCGTCATCGCTTCCGTCCATACATCGGGCTTTCATGATGCAACAGCCTGACGCTGGGCAAAACAAAATCAATCCGGTGTCGTCTAAGAAGCTGAAAACGAAGTGGCATTTCGGTATCAGATCTAGATCATACCCATTAGATGTCATGGGTGAGATTTATAGGGCGTTGAAGAATCTTGGAGCGGAATGGTCCAAGCCTACGGAAGAAGAGCTTTGGACGATTAGAGTTAGATGGAAATACGGACCGTCAATGGTGGACGAGACTGCGAAGAACGGCGAGTGTGTACCTCCCGATTTGATGAAAATGAGGATACAGTTGTTCCAATTAGAACCCAACAACTACTTGGTGGACTTTAAGTTTGATGGCTGGGAAAACTCTTCGGGTGAGCCTCCTGCTAGACAGGACGTGGACGAAATGAGCTCCTTTTCAGCATACCCATTTTTGCATCTTGCCACTCGTCTTATTATGGAGTTGGCCGTCAATTCCACACAAGCCTAATCATGAAAATGTTCTTGAAGGCCGAGTCCGTGGAGCATCCTGGTACGTTCCGAACGCCGTCCCCGAATGCTTTTGCAAGTGCTAGGAGTCTATTCTACCAGTTGTGGATTTTGTTATAATCGCGTTTGGCTTTACAGGCCAAGTCGAGAGCACGACAAACTTGCGTGGGTTTGTTGATTAGAACTGTTGCCGGCTTTTAGAAATCTTGCCGGCCACGATTGCAAGACAAGCAGATGAAACGTCCAGGTTGACGCCTTCGGATTCATGTGCATGTGCGAGCACGGGCGTCGCGAAGACTCTTACAGGGGCCCATACGTAGAATCCTACAATTCGCATGGGAGGTCCCTCATGCCGTGGGCACTGTAACCCTAGACTTCACACGATATTAATATACTAGCTTGGAGGGCCGTGGCAAGCACAAATGCGTTGAAAGGCCGTCTCGCGCGATTCACCCCTGCGCGCACCAGATCCTCCAGATTTAATCAAAGGTCCTCTACATAGAGGCTCAATTTAACCAAACGGGCATGTATGTAAACAGTTGAAGTGAGAAAATCGAAGGCAGAAAAGAGTTGACGGACCTGGGGCCCAAGGGAAAAAACATACATCAGTGAGGAAAAAAAGCACATTGTTTTCTTGCAACAAAAAGCACGCCGATATCTTCAAACCATCCGACATCATACAAACAAAGTTGGGCCTTTTTATTTTTATTTTTTTCCTTTCTGGACTCGGCTCATCAAGTATTATAGTCGGGACACGGGGACTGTTACAGCAACATACCTGAGTTCGACGTCAAAAGTGCCTAGCTTTCTCCGCTACCTCAAAAGTTTACTGGTACGCTTCTTTTCCTTCCAGCTAAAAAGAAAACGACAGCATGAAGACAATAAATATCTTAGATCCAGATGCGCTATCGGCAGATGACTCGATCAAGCTCCACGAGGTGGCACGTTACATTTACAAAGCCAAAAAAACCACCATGTTGACCGGGGCCGGGATTTCGTGCAACGCGGGAATCCCAGACTTTCGCTCCGACGATGGTTTGTACAACATTGTGAAAGCAAAATACCCCTCGAGCTTCATCAAGGGCCAAGACTTGTTTGACATTTCGCTCTTCAGAAGCAACGAAACGCTCCTGATTTTCTGTACGTTCATGGAGGGGCTCTACAAGTACTCTTTGCAGGCCAAAGCGACGGAGACCCACAAATTCATCAAGACGTTGAAAGAGAAAAACAAGCTTTTGCGGTGCTACACGCAAAACATCGACAGCATTGAGAAGAGTCTCGACTTGAACTGTGGCATCGACTCGGCACATTTCAACGAGATCGAGCTTGGTCTGGCCCGCACTTTCAGAGACAATTGGAAGGATTTGGACGTTGTTCAGTTGCATGGAAATCTACATAAACTCTCGTGTACGCAGTGTCTTACGCACTACGAATGGACTGCCGAAAGCCAGACCAAGCTCAGGGAAGGAGAAAACCCCGAATGCGAGAACTGCTACCTTAAGTTCCAGGAACGGCTCTATGCGGGGAAGAGGATGACGGGGAACATCGGAATTTTGCGTCCCGACATTGTGCTTTATGGCGAGAACCACCCACAGTCGGAGATTTTGGCCCGGGGACTCAACATTGACATGGGCATGAAATGCGACTTGGTGTTGATCATGGGCACGCTGTTGAAAGTCGACGGCGTGAAGAAATTGGTGCGGTCAGTCTGTAAGAATGTGCGTGAGCGAGGTGGGAAAGTGGTGTTTGTCAACAAGTCGCCGGTGGCCAAGCAGTTTGCCAGTCTTGTTGATTACGAGGTCTTGTGTGACTGTGACGACTTCATCCGTGCTTTGAGGCACGAAATTCCAGATTTGTTTTTGACGCAGGAGCAGCTAGACTCGAAAAAGCTCCAGGGCAAACAGTCACCCAGCAAACCATATGACCACATTAAAAATGAGCAACCGGAAGGCGTCAAGCTCGAAACCACGACGGCCCGAGTCAAGATCGAAAACCCCACAAATAGAGTCAAGCTCGAGAAGTCCAAGCACCATGCTATCAAGAGCGAAGCAGGTCCGGGAGTCGGTCTTGGAAATGCGCGAGATACTGTCCTCACCCCTCCCAATACGCCGACCAAGAAAAGAGCTTTGGCCAGCGAGCGGAAGAGACCGACGCTTAAAGCGTGTCGGAACAAAAAAGCCAAGGTCGAGCCTCACTTTCCATCTCCATGCCCAAGTTTCACGGAGAGCATCAAGATCGAGAGTGAGAGTGATGTTGCCACCGACTGCGACGACTTTGATGGCTCCACCGAAAATAAGGAGAACATGGACGGACGAGTGGCCAAACAGGAGAATGCTGTTTGCGAGGCCATGAGGGTCGGGGCTTAAGGTATGTTCAAGCAGTACATGGTGTTCCTGGACTCAGCCACATACACTTGTTATATTCGGTGAACATCCAGGAATATCACACACTAAAATCTGAACAGGATACTGATTATAGAATGCTGCAGTGATTGTGCGGTATGGTGTTGTGCTGATTTGCCACGAGATTACTCCTTCAAGAAAAGTAGGGTCCTTTTTAGATTACACGAGGCACAGCTGATTACCCTGACTCAACTGTCACTTGCTTGTGCATGGAGCTATGTATGGCATCAGTTTCATGACGAACATAGAACATCGTTTCTCTGTGGGTCAGCTGCTCTCACAAAGAGGTGTCGTCTGTGCCGGTTTCGAAATGACATAATATAGATCATCAGTGCTACAATCGAAAACCCTGCAATGCTTCCCGTGGGTTGGCGAATTCCAAGACATTTAGTAATTTGCCGAAATCACTCCATATACTAGAACAATTGTTCGATGCAATCTTTCTGCTCGGAAAACATGAAGTCTAGGCCCTTTTAGATATGAATGTCAAGATTTGAAAGATAGTTCACGGGACGCAGAAATCCCCAGTATTCCTCTGTGGTACCTTAACCAGTAATTTTGGGGCATCACATTTCACTTCCAAAATCTTAGAAGCACAAATTGAAGCCTTGCTGTTTCTTGAACAAGGCTCCCGCGAGCGAGCTCGAGACCAATCTACATTTTAATGGTCAACTAAGTCATGGCTGAAGTCCATACTTTACTGTCAATTTGAGTACACCTCTACGAAGTACCTCTGGAAACTTGATCGAAAAACAATCAGCTCCAAGTTACCAACTGCCCTTGCTTTGAGCTATGTTTCGACAAGCCCAACTTGATGACCCTCAGATTGTCTGTTTCCCTGCAGATTTCTGCCAGAAAATTTGACAAACTTCTTGAAGAAGAGTGTCTCGAAAGGCTTGGTGCATATTTAGGCAAAACATCGGATTAGTCCTGGTGGCAGAGAATCTGACTTTCGGGTTTCTGAGTTTTGCTTGTGAGAACACTTCGATGTGGGGATGTCTATTTTGGAGCTGATTCAGGCATCTGCGGTGTCATCAGATCTGGCAGATGCAATTTGTGGAATGGAGACTTTGGATTGCTTCAATGCCGCGGGACAGTCCAAAGCGTTGTCCCGAACATGAATGAAGGATTAGAGCAGGATGTATGACGCGAGGAAGAAGTAGCAAATCCAAAGGTATGTAATGAGATCTTTGTCAATGGTTCTAACATGAGATGTTACTAGGACATAAATAGACACGGGCCAAGAGGTAACGGAAGCGGGCGGGCCGAGTTTCCACACTTGGTACGTATCTGGAAGCTGGTGAAAGGTTTTATATATTATTTGCAAAGTTTTGCTCCTTTGATCAGATGAATCACAAGAAATTAGTCAGGTAGAAGATGAACATCATCGTGGGACAGAGAGTGGGTGCCGATAAAGAGAGATGGGAGGTAGGCCACACTGCTGCTTCTGAAAAACGTGGCTTTTCGCTACCGTGGGAAAGCTCAACATCTTTGCCACCAAATTCCTGGCCTCTGGGGGATACTCATATGACTATGATGAAGGTTGGCAACCGTATGTTGAGTCCTTTATATTAAGTCTTGCAAATGAGTGGGGAGCGCTTGTATTACTTAGAATCATTAGTTTCATTGTCTAAAAGGTAGGATAGTTTTTTCGGTGCATTCAGGAGATTATCTCGAGT